GCACTTGCAGTCTGGCCGGTCAAGTAAGACACATGCACATGAGAGCTAGCTGTACATGCCAGGATGTATCAAGTGCCAGCAGCACAGGGCAGCCCGTGAATACTGGTGAGTCAGAGAGAGAGGTCAATGTGGTCCAAGGTGAGCAAGGAAGGCTTGAGGTGGATCTTGAGTTCATCCTTGCAAGACTCTAATCAAAAGGGGGACAAGGGCATTTTAGGATCTGCAGAGGTGTGTATATGTGGGGCAAAGAAATAATAGAAAGAGGGCTGGAGAACTGAAAGGCATGATTCTTGATCTAAAATCTACCCAAAGATAGTCATAATAGCACATTAAAATAACAATGATAATATTCAAAATATTGCTGATGGGTTATCTAAGGATAGAGTAAGAAAAGTTTAAGTTTCTGTTATATTTAAAAGAGAAAGAATACCTTAGTTCTGTGCTGTATAATTTCCAGAGCAGATTCCTAGTCATTCTCATTCAATTCAAAGAAATCCTGTTTAGGCTGGGAAGGCTATGTAGACATATGTATTTAGATGGATGGATGATAGATAGATAGATAGGAACACACACACATACTTAGGCTGGGAAGGCTATGTAGACATATGTATTTAGATGGATGGATGATAGATAGATAGATAGATAGGAACACACACACATACTCTCACACACACACACACACACACACACACACACATGTCTATATTTTTTCTACTTCCTGGATTGGGAGCCCTAGAGGATTGAATATTTTTCTTCTTTGTGGCTCACAAATTGCATAACATGGTGGTTATATGTGAAAGACATCTAATAGATGTTTGTTGAATAAAATTATTGTCCCCTTTATATCACAACTCAAAGGTGTTAAAAATCACTTCTTAAGAAGAAGAGTCAGAGGAAGAACCAAATGTCATGACTTTCCACTTCCGAGGTCGTTCTGTCCACCATACCATGCTAGACATGGATTATTGCAGTCCCAGAAATGAGAGAGAAAATGTCACAGTCAAAAATCAGATGCAAGTTCAAGCAAGGATTTCCAGGGTTGTGGGAGTTGAGATGGATGGTACACAGGCAATTCTGCCTCGATGCTCTTGGGTGGAAAGTGTTAGAAATTATTACCAGGTAGGGGGCATACTTTCACATTTATTTGCAATTTTGATTCCACCAATGAGAACAAAGCATATAAACGTCCACCTCAACTTCCATTCCCAGCATTTAAGAACACCAGAACTCAGAACTCTTGCGTTTTGTTAGAAGAGACCACTCAGAAGCCGATGAGCTCTGTAGACTTGCATGAGAGCTGCTGTCTTTAGTTGCCAAATATCTAGAAAGGAAAGGAAATGATCTACCTCCCTAACATGGGTTCCACATGCAGGACGAATTTGTTTCCTCCGCTCCCTAAATAAAAACCCAGAAATAAGAGGATGCAGTTCCATGGCAGTGATACGTAGAATTGCTCTTGAGCCCAGCATTGTTGCATGTGTAATCTCTGGAGAATTCCAGCTACACGTCCATCAGCTAAATCTGAACTCCAAATGCCAAATGTGACACTGAGGAACATTATGTGGATTAGTGATTTTCCCTGGAGGACTTGGGCCATCCAGCAATAAATGGATTGAGATTTCATGCAGAACATGAAGACAGTCACTACGTAACTTTCCTTTATGACATGTGTATTCTTGCAGTTTTCTTTTGGTGTTTTTCATATTGTGTTTATGCAAACATGGCAGTGAAAAAGGAAATTTTAGGATGAAAAGGTTTTTATAAAGCATGTGGAGTGTTTGATATTTGGAAAGAAGCACCGACTCAGTTTCCAACAAAAAGGGAAATGGTTAATGAATTATGATATACTTCTCTGAAGCAATGATAAGGTGATATGGAGTTACTTGAAATGTCTGCTGAGAGCAGTATATGTAGAAAAGTTCCCTAGCTTAAAATTAAGTGAAAAAAATCAAGGTGGAAATTGTAGTTCCAATATGGCCACCACAAAACAAAAACATGAGGAAAAGTAGAAAGGAAACATACCTAGGGCCGGCCCGGTGGCGCACTGCTACAGTGCGCCGCTTGGGAGTGCGGTGGCGCTCCCGCTGAGGGTTCGGATCCCACAACCGGTTCCCGCTCACTGGCTGAGCGAGGTGCGGGAGCAACACCGAGGGTTGCGATCCCGTTGCCGGTCCCGGTC